ATATATATATATATATATATATATATATATAAGATTTATTTACTCAAAAAAGTAAGTTTTTTTATTATAATTACTCCACACAATAATTCATTCAATATCATCTTTCCAATCAATAAAAAATTACTATGACTAATTATCAAAATAGCTTATAATAATCTATAAAGAAGTCCAAGCATACAAATTAAATTCAAAGTTACAAGGTGAAGCTTTACGAGTTTCTAGTTCAACATTAAAATGAACCTCTATATTATATTTATATAAGTAGAGATGGTCAATACTTTCTCAATTATATTTCAAAAACCACTTTAATTTGTAAATCACAATATTTTGCTATGCAAAATTGGATGTTTTCTTGAAAACAATTCGACACACTAGCATTTCTGCATACTGGATACAATAACATAAAGTTTGTGAAAACAGTGGGATGCACAGGGACAGACAACCTCTTGGATTTTTTGTCGTTTCAATTCCGGATGCTGCAATTTACACTTCTGTGTTGCTTTCTTATAACCACCCCTTCTACTTTCTCTGTTCTTGACAAGTTGTGCTGGTAGACAATAGGACATGTATATAACTATGAAAAAAGTTGCAGCAAAAACGTATCCAGCTGTAAGACCTTGCCGAAATGATTCATGGAATTGGTTCGAGGACTCCATCAAATTACTTTCAGTTACACAATATCAAGAGTCCACCACAGATACCGTTCACTACAACATCAAACATTAAAAACTAGTTAGCTATATATGTAAAATTCTACAAAATAGATGTACCAAGAAGTTGAATATTACAAAAAAAATGGAGATGTAAAAAATATCTGCTGGAATTTCACCAGAGAACTCCCTAGTCTTGAATGATCGGTGGCTCGGAAATAAAGCACGTAGAGTGTATCATATAATTAAGCTGACTTATGTAGTGGAAAAATTGTAAGTACTGCACGTACGTGTTAGTTTTTTCTTATTCGTTTATTTATGAACCCTTCTATACGCGTAGAATTAGACTTTGTTGACTACTTTGGAGTTGTTCCAAACTTGACGTGAATAGTTCATGTTTGGGTTAGTGCACACGGAAACATATTTCTCTCCTTTTGACGTAGATTTGGTTTGAAGACGTTAGTGTTAGGTTCAACTTATCATTTTGAAACAATCACTGTCTTCAATTTTTAAAAATAATTTTGATTTTTCTTTTTTTATGTTTTATTTAATTTATTTACATAAAAATTATTGATCACAACTTAAGTTTAAACCAAAAAATGTTATATATTATTTTTTAATTATTTATAAGATATATTTTTCACATGAGTTTTTCATATTTATTGTCCTTTTGGATTTGAAGTTGAGTTTTATAATTTTTATATAGGTAAATTTAATATTAATGTCTCACTTCTTAAATTAATTAAAAATTATTTCAAAATTGAGTCAAAAAATTAAAAGATATTATTGTTTTTTTTAAAATACTAATCTAAATATAAATAATAAAAAATTAAAATAAATATTTTAATATATAAAAGACCAAAATAAATATAAAAACATTAAGATAAAGGAAAAATATATATTTAGCTTAAATTTTATAATCTTCACAAATACTTAAATTTTCAATTTCTTTATAAATTTTATATTCAAACAAAACTTTTCACCACCAAGTATTTCAAATTCACCAAATATAATAATTTGTTTTCTTAAAATCTCCCATCCAAACATATTATTAATCTTTTATATGTTTAGCTACCTTTCTATTTATGATGACTAGTAGGGTGCTCTGTATATTTATTTTTGAGCGGTTTTGGAAAATGGTTGTAGAAAAAAATATATTAAGATTTTGAAGTAGATAACTGTATAGTCCGTATATAATTAGTGAGAGTTTTTTTTTTTAATTATTGAAAGTGAATCTTTTAAAAATTATAAAGTGCCTGGTATGAGTTTAATATGAAAAAGTAATTGATGTAAGAGATGATATATGAAAAATGTTTCATTTTAAGAGACAGACAAATTTCTCATATTCAAAACGAATATGATATAATTTACACTCAACATAAAAAATCTTGTGCACACATAAAAATATTAGGGGTAATGTAAAAGAAAGATAAAAGGAAGTCACAGAATTCTTCGAACAGTATTTTTAGAATATTGTTTGGCATTGGCCTTGTGAACGCTTCTTGCTTTAATCTTTACTTTTGAATAAAGTAATAAAAAGGGAAAAAGAAAGATGCTTTAATGGTAAACGCCATCAACTTTGCTTACAAAGTATCAACAAATTGATATATATATATATATAGGACGGATCCACTTACAATACTAAGAGTAAGTCTTTTTAGATTTACTTTACTTAATAATTCTTGTTTTACATCGAGTTTTAACGATCTAACCGTTAAATTAAATTAAAGTTTTTAATACATAAATCAAGTTTGTTAAATTTTAAAAAATTTGAAAACTATTTAGTATTTCATTGTACAAATTTAAATCAACATATAAATTACTTTTATAATTATTTATCAACTTGAATTAATAAAATAATTATTCGATCATTGTCATGTGGTCCTATGAAACAAGATTATTGATTGGGGACCAAAGCTATTCTGAATACTTGATTGTTGGCTAGGAGAGAAAGAGTTTGAGAAGATTGTAATAAATGCTTGGTCATCTATGAAAGATCATGGATGAAGAGCATTAATTCTTAAGGAAAAAATAAAGGCATTGAAAAAAAAAGATAAAGAAGTGAAATAGGGACCATTTTAACACAAAAATACAAGAACTAGAAAAAGGAAATGAATGATTTGGATAAGAAAGAAGAGAATATAAGTTTGATTGAGGAAGAAATTACACAAACGAGATAGTATAGGGATGAGTGATATGGATATTACTAGATTTGTAGAATTACTAAATTGTAAAAGGTTAAATTTTCCTTTTACATATTTAGGTGTTCCTATTGGCACTAATTCGAGGAAGATGGAGACTAAACAACCTATAATTGCTAAGTTTACAAAGAAGTTGTCGTCATGGAAAAAGAAATATTTGTCAATGGTAGGTAGGATTTATGTTATTAATAAATAATGTCATTGTCGTATTCAAAATTGATTTCGTAGACACTTGATGCTTGTTTATACTAAGAGATAGATAGAAGAGAGAGAAATATGAGTATCAAAATAAATATGATGTGATAAAAAATGAAAAATATTAATGAAGTGTTTGCGTTGGTGTTCATATTTAATTACTTATATATAAGAGATATTAAGGACTACAATAAATAAATCAATTTTTGATACAATTTTAGTAAAATAATTTACCCTCTCAATAAATGCGTTACTGTTATTGGTGGTAGTTAAATAGTACTACCTCCTTTCCCTTTTAACAACCGTTTAAGGTTTTTATGTAAAAATTAATAATACAATAAAATTTTCTGATTTCCATACAATGATTTTAATTTTTTTTATTATGTCTCTTTTTTTTTTTTTTAATACATGTTAGTTGTAAGTGTAAATTAAAAATTAGGCGAAATATAACATTATAAGTGACTAAATCATAATTAATATAGTCTTAAACTTTAAAAATGATAGATAAATAAAAATACTTATTTTCTAAAAAAAACTAACAATTAATAAGGAATAGAGATATAATAGTAATTTATGAAAGGATAGATTAAGAAAAATATAATTAATATTACATTGAAAGAGAGAACATCATTTCTTTTGTAATATTTTTTTTAAAATACTAAAAACTGCAATGATTGTGAAATAATAAATTTATTATTCATTCAAGAAAAAAAAATGCCATGGGCCAACATGCTACATGCCATGTTATCTTAGCCGGAGCCTCACGAACCCATTTCATGGTACATTTGATGAAGCCCAAATTTGTTTTACTGAAGAATTTCTGAGATCATCCGATGACCAAAATATATAAATTGATTTGAGGTTTTTTTTTTTTTTTTTGGTTCGTCCTGGGAATATTTACCGCCACGTGATTAATTTTCTCGCTACATTGGAGGCACTTCAAAGAGTGAAATAGCTAATCCCAAGATTTAACGCGGCTACATACATAAGGCAGGATTTGAACTTCTGACCTTATTTAAGCGTAGGTCAACCCCTATCGCTGATCACATACTTGGGATTATTTGAGTTCCGTCTAAAAGCTAAATTATCTATTTCATTATCTGTCATCACATGTTCCTGTTTATGGGCTTCTTCTCACTTCTCCGGGAATTTGTTTTGAGTTTAGTTTTAATTAATCTTAGTATAAATTTTTTTAACTCTACTGCCCGATTAATGATAATGTAAAAAATTCATATTCACGACGATAAAGAATTAAATCCATTCATGTTTCACAAACTTAATTTTACCTTTTATTTTATTTTTTCTTAGTATTTTATTCTCAGATAATTTATGAAAAAATGATCTAAATATGCCTAATTATGTGACTAGACCCGCATTATATTTTCATAATATTACCGTAAAGATAATGACATTGTTTATTCTTTTTAAACAAATATTCTATTTTTGTTTTTATAGTCTTTATGCGAAGATATTGCATTCTTCTCTCTTTTTAAACATAATATTTGATTATTTAATTTTTAATATAATTTATAATACATTATGATTAATTTAAAGTCTATAAATGATTACGTTTGCAATGTTATTTGTCTTTATATATATATATATATATATATATATATATATATATATATA